CTAGGATATTATATTGTCATGTTTTCGTCTTCTCAAGATTGTTCTAAGATTCTAATGGGAGGACCATATAAGATGTTTGATCATTATCTAACTGTCCAATCGTGGGAATCAGGGTTCTATCCTGCTAGAGACAAAGCCCCTAAAACAGTCGTGTGGGTCAAATTACATGGTGTCCCCATTGTTTGCTTCTATGAGGCAATCTGTCTTTATTTAGGCAATAAAATTGGCAAACAAATTAAAGTGGACCCTACAACTCTCCTTACCATTAGAAGAAAGTTTGTTAGAGTTTGTGTTGAGGTTGATCTTAACCAACAGCTCCCTTCATCTGTGGGTCTTGACTTAGAGGATTTACCTCAGGCTTTAATTCTAGTTGAATATGAAGGTCTACACAAAATTTGCTTTCATTGTGAGGAGTTTGGTCACACTGAAGATATTTGCCACTATAAGAATCTAGAAAAAGCTTCTCCAACAGTGAGTAATCCTAGCTCCAAGGCTATGATTGAATTAACACAAACTCTAAAACCAAATTCTGATGAGAACCCTATGGTTTTTGGGCCATGGATGGTTCAGCAATGGAGGTCCAAACGATGGCAATTGTCCCACGGACAAGGTGCATAGACAAAGGAGGCGTCCCTTCTAACTTCATTGAAAATCTTGGGTAATCTAGATCTCAATACAAAAACTCTGGTGCAATCTTCGCTAGCCAAGATTGTTACTAATTCTATTCCGCATGATTCGACATCCAAGATTGTTGCCAATTCTATTTCACATGATTCGAGAAGTAATTGGTTTGCCATGTTAGTAGAGAATACGGAGGATGATTTAGATTTATTGAATTCAAATAAAGATCATGATAATACACAGGCGGGAGTTTTGCCTCAGAATCAAGACTTGGTGGGATCCTCTGCATCGATGGACATTGTTTCACCTAACCGGCCTCCTCCATCCTCAACGGCTTTTGCTAAGCCCAAGCCCAAAAAGAGAAAGGCCAAAGTTGGGGGCCTAGTCCCTAAAGATACTAAGCCTCCTACACCCAAGCCATATCAGCTTCCTTCAATACTCAAGAAACAGCAAGATCCAGCAAGTTTTTTTGTCTACCACACCACCTATGGATTCTAGGTGTTCCATGGCAGTTAAGTCTTGTATGGCAAACTTTTTAGCTGTGATCACTCCTCAATAGCCTCCATCTTCGATGCTTGATACTAGTCAAACCCAAAGGATAATATTTGCATAAGACTATCAGTCAAACATGGCTCAATCACACTCGATTGAGGCTACATCGTCAAATGCAGTTCATACTCACACTCTTTTTAAATGAAGATTTTGACATGGAATAGTCATGGTGTTAGACATGGTCCTTTTAGGAGGGGATGTAAAGAATTACTTAAGATGCATAAACCAAACGTCATTTGTTTCTTAGAAACAAAAGAAGATGAAGACTCCTCAGACCTCTGTTTTATGTTGTGTTTTGGCTTTGATAAACAGTTTAAGGTTCCTTTTCTTGGATGAGCAAGGGGTTTATGGTTGTTTTGGAAATCCTCATTAGTAGACTTAAAGGTGTTATCTTCCACTGGCCAAGCCATCCATTATCTCCTTACAAGACAACGAATGACTTTTGCTACCACCTTTGTTTATGTTTAGCCACATAGTGCCATGAAGGCTGAGTTTTGGTCGTTCTTAAGAGACTTGGCAAGATTAATTTCAGAGAGTTGGTTTGTCTTAAGGGATTTTAATGATATTGCCATGATGGATGAAGCTTCGTCGCAAGCAATGCATTGAGTCTCTGGTATTCAACGTTTTTGAGATCAATCAGATGCTTGCAGTCTATTTTCCTTGGATTCTCTAGGTTGCAAGTTTACTTGGATATGTAAAACTAATGATAGAGTGACTTTATGAGAAAGGATTGACAAGGTGCTTACTAATGTATCTGGCTTTGAGGAGTTCTCTGATACAAAATTGATAAATTTACCTAGACTATGTAGTGATCACCACCCGATCATGTTAAACATTGACCCCCTCTCTTAGAGGTCTCCAATAACCAGGCCGATTCAATTTGAAGCCGCTTGGTTGACTCATGATGATTTTAAGGCTATCCTTTCTAATGTGTGGTCTTTTTATAATCATTCTCTTTCTTCAGCTATTGGGGTGGTTCAAACTACTTGCTTTGATTGGAATAAAATTGAGTTTGGGAATCTATTTTGTAGGAAAAGGTTACTAAAAAGCTTGTCTAGTGGGGATCCATAATTCACCTAATTACTCTCACTCTTTTTTTTTTTTTTCTTTTTTTTTTTTTAACAACGTGCTTCTATAAGTGTATAGTTTTTTTAAAGGGTTCTCTGCTTGAGGCTAATATTTTATTTAATGAAGTTTTCTCTTGTGTTATTCTGTGATTTTATTGATGTTGTTGCTCTGCCTTTGGTGTTGTAGGCCTTTGTTAAATTTATGTTTGCAGACTTTTCACCATTCCTTTTTAAAAAATACTCACTGACTCACTGGTTGTTTATGGGGTCAGTTTTATGAGGTTGTTGAATACGCCACACATTTGATATTAATGAGGATTGAGTTGTCATGGTAATGTTCTTAAGATAGCGTGAAGTAGAAAACAGGGAAAAACATGGGAAAGAGGCAGGGATCTCTAAGTATGCTACATTTCATTTTCAGAACTAGAATTTTAGGCTATTGGTTGTGAACTTTGAATGTGGAGAAAAAGAGCAGGCTAAAATGCTTCTAGGAATTCCGTTAAACTCTCTACATATTAGAAGCCCTTATCCCTCCATTTCTTCTTGTGTAATTATTCATAATATTGTGCTTGAACATTAGGCCATGTGTCAAGTATTGTTGTATTGGTAACTCTTTGCTCAATACAAGTTCATGTCATGTTCAAACTTAGATTTTTTTTTGTTAATGGTGGTAGCATCTTTTAAGGAAGTTGGTGTATAATTTGTGTAAACTGCTGGATATGACTTTCTTGAATGACCTTTTTTTTATTAACTAAAATCAAAAAGAGGAAAAGTTAGAAAGATGGACTGTATGACTGAATCTCTAACCATCAGTAACCTAATCCACAGATTTTTGATGACTTTATGCCATTAATCTCCAAGATTTTGGGCATCATGGTGTTATATGTTTGCCAACTACTGCTCATCATGATGTCAATATTCTTGTGAAATATTATATGTAGCTTAAATGTTTTGCTTTTGACTTATCTTGCTCTATTTTGGTTACGGACAAATTTTGCTGGCATGAGACATGAAGTTGCATACTGTATATTGAGAAACTCATTCACAAAGGCTAATTCTTAAATTTTAGTGGGCCTTAATGTGTTAACCAGTTTGATCTTCTTTGGTGTCAAGTGTTAACAGAGGTTTGCATCAGAAGTTTACTCTATGGCTTCTCATTCTTCACCCAGTTGCTTGCTTGTGCTTAATGAGTGTTATATTTTATATATGCTTTCTACTCCTAGATTCATCTTATATGTTGAAGTGGTCTGTTGTTCTCATGCAGATGCTGAGTTCAGAAACACAGGATTGGAAAGGTCTGAGGGGCTGGCAAAGGATTTGGATTGGTTCAAAGAACAAGGTTATGACATTCCAGAACCATCTTCTCCTGGGCGTAACTATGCAGAGTATCTCAAGGAATTGTCAGAGAAGGATCCTCAAGCATTTATATGTCATTTCTACAACATATATTTTGCACACTCAGCTGGTGGTCGTATGATTGGGAAGAAGGTAAAAAAAATTAGCTTCAATTGTGCTTCCAAAATTATATTTGTATGTTATTATCTTCATTACATAAATATAACCTTCATTGATTTCTTAAAAAGATATTCGCCTGTAGTGTTCTACATTCCAGAAATTTATGTGCTCGTTAGTATCTCATGCTCATTTTTAACCAGTGTTGTAAAAAGCTCGCCTAGGCACGGCCTGGGCTCTAGGTGGTGCCATTCTGCCCACATCAGCCTAGGCTCTAGGCGATGCCATTCTGCCCGCGGAAATTCAATGCGGTTTGCATCACCCAGATCAATTAAGTACATCCAGGCACTATTAGGCGTGCTTAATGGCACCTAGAGTGCTTGAGCAAATGCTTTTTATTAATTTTTTAGCCTAATGAAATGATGTTGTTTAATTTATTATAAAAATTATATTAAAAAAACATTAAATGCCAAGTAATTGCTTTAAATTCTGTTCTTTAGACATAATAATGAATAAAAAATGTTTTATTTTTTTTTTTTTTTTTTTCTTTTTTAAATTTTTTTTCCTTTTTTTTTTTTTTTTTTTGGATTTTTTTCAAACCTTTTTTTTTAAAAAAAAAGGGCTTGGGCCCCCCTTGGGCCTTTTGGGTTTTGGGTTTTGGGCACCGCCCACCATCGCCTAATGCTTTCTGCAACCTTATTTTTTAACATGGTTGACTTGTATGCTCTAAAGATTGTGTATACATCAGTGTGTGTTTAGACATACCCAGTAGGCATGCTCATGTCAAGCTACCTCTGGGGACACTTCTCACAATCCATTTAGTTCCTTTTCTCTACCTCTTTTTCTTAGAAACATTTTAAAGGTGACATGAATGGCATGTTGTGGTTTGTGAGCTATACAACTCAAACTGTTACTCCTTTCCATTGGATCAGGTAGCCGAGGAGATACTAAACAAAAAGGAGTTGGAATTTTATAAATGGGATGGGGATCTATCCCAGCTTTTGCAAAATGTCAGGGACAAGTTGAATAAGGTTGCTGAGGTAATTATATTTCGAACTCTTGCACAGTTTTCCTGTAAATTTCAGTTTCTTTTTTCCTCTAATTTATGTCTTCGCCACTCCAAAACAAAAAATAAAAAGAAAAGAAAAAATCATATCTGCAACATGTTAATAGTACCTTTATTATTCTCTTTTGTTTACATTTTACTGATAACCAATACATGTTTGCTTGTATATTTACTCAGAGATGGACAAGAGAAGAGAAGAACCATTGTTTGGAAGAAACTGAGAAGTCATTCAAGTATTCAGGAGAGATCCTCCGACTAATATTGTCATAACGCTTGTAATTGCCATGTGATACTGTTAGTGGCACAAGCTAAAATGCCATCTCAATTATAATGCTTTTCCTTTTCCTTGTAACTACCAATTTCCTTGAAACATTTGATTGCTTCACCATCTGTAATCAGAACTCATTCAAGGATTTGAATAAATCACAGATATTATACATTTGGCCAAGTAATTATATATGCAAGTTTTTGATTTTGTCCATCCTAACTGTGTATTGTTCCAACTTTTAATGCACCTAGAAAGTTGACTTGAGTTAGTGACATTGTGCATTTGAAAATAGTTTCCTTGCAGCACCATACTTTAGTCGATGTTTGCTGGTAGAAGCTTTGCTAGCGAGTAGGGCTGTAATCGAGTCAAACCAAGTACCTCCAGTACTTGAGTCTGGGCAGCTCAAGCTTTATCAACTTGAGTAGTCTGCGAGTCACTTGTGAGCTTTCATGTAATTTAAGATTATATTATAGAAATGTATATATTTATTTTATTCTAATTGGGCTCATCACCAGTAGCTCGATAATATTATCGAGTTCAGGATAAAACTGGAGCTAATTTGCAAGTACTCAACATAGTTGCAGCCTTGGTAGCGAGCAAGGGTGGTATCAGTCTATGATAAAATTGCAAGGAGGAGGCAACTAAGAGAAGGTTTGCCTGCAGTGATGTAGAAAATAATCTTATTACAAACGTCATTTCAATGTTATTACAAACATCAGATTAATGGAAGTGAGGCATCTGCATCAGATCAAACTCTGTAATTCATGCTTGGATTCGGTATGTTTCAATTGAAAGAAGATAAAGGTACTATTTTGCCTTGAACAGATTTATAATTTGTTCACTGATCGGGTATTGCCTTTGCTCAAAATGAGTTGAAAAGTGCTACTGCTGAGAACTTTTACTACATTTTTTCAGGATGATTCCACACCCCACGGGGACATAAATCTGAATGATTTAGGATGGACAGCTTTTAAAGAAATTCAAAGGACAACCCGAAGCAATAGAGTTGATACAGAAATATAACACAAGCTAAACGTTATGGATTAGCGCTGCTGAGTGCTGATCCAGTAGTGTCTAAAATGAACATATGGCAACTAAAATACAAACACAGCCTTTCTGAACGTGGAGATGTAACCTTTACTCTTCAAAAAAGAAAAAATAATACAGCCACAGCCTATTGGAATTGATTTAGGTGGTTAAATCTTTAGAATCATGCTAAAAATGTGAGTTTAAATTCCTCACACACCATTTATAAATAATTTTAATGAACTATGTTGAGTATGTTCATTATCTTTGAAGATAGAGATTTGTTTAATATTTATAGGAAAAGTGATTTGCAAACATATATGAAATTAATCTACCATAAAAAATATATAAATAAAATTAATTAAGTCAAAGATTTAGATATCCTAATTATTTAAAAAAAAATCACAGCCAACAATTATAAACAACTAAAAGATAAACTAAGGTCTTATATACATACATATATATATATATAAACATAAATAACCCTTAAGAATTCGAGGGGGACGAAACCCCTCCCAGAGGAATTAAAAACGTATTGTCGCAAATTCTTCAAACTTTCAATGGACCATAATCCCCTTTCAATTTCAACTTAAATCAAACATATTGACTTTCCGCAGCTGACATGATTGTTGGCAGCATAAAGGGAAGACACAGCACATGGTCTGATGGAACCTTACTGTGATAGAACCTTACTGACGGGAATTGTAGCTACTGAATCCATCCTCCACAATGTCAACGGTGTTGTAACCGAGTTCAGTAGCAATGTGCCTCAGCAAAAGGCCCTCATTGTACTTCACATCAGTAATTGTTTCGGATTACTCTTCCAATCATTATTGGAGTGATTCCCTTTCTTTAGAAATTTGAGCAACAGGTCCCAGCAAGATCCAGAGTTGGGAAAATCAGGTTTTGAATTTTGTACCATTTATATAATTACAGTTATAGACAACTTAAATCAGATTAAAGAATTTTAATTTGCTTAAGTTAAAATTCAATTAGAAATGCCTCATCCATCACCTTTATAATGCACATCCCTGACTTCAAAGTTATCCAAAGACAAGAAAAAGGAAACGTATTATTCAATTAGTAACAAAAAAGAACATTACCTAAAATTCAATTTGAATGTTAATCCATAACGGAATTGTCATTTACTACGACCTGACTTGTTCTATTATTTGCTCATACCACTATCTCATTTTATCATTTATTTGTAAATCTAACATGATCCTTTGGTACAACATTGATTTCTAAACTATTTTAAAAGGAAAAACAATAAGACAACTGAGATTGAGACTGACAAGAAACATTAATGGTAAATTTTAAATTAATGGGAAATAACAGAGCTCTTCGCAGGCCAGAAGGCAGGTCTTACATGAAGGAAAAAAAAAGGAAGGGCAAATGTTAATCCAACTTATAGACATTAAGACCCCAGGATGACCAAATTTTACATCTAGTCATCAACTGTGCTCATGAATCCACCCATAAAGCCAGCTCCATTGCAGTTCCCACACAAAATCTCTCGTTTTCCCCTGCGTAATATATATCCAGCGTCAATGCTGATATTTGGACAGCATATACATTAGACAAAAATACCAAGTGTTGTAGTGGAATGTCAATGTTTAAAATGAAGCATCCAATTGACTGTAACCTTGGCACAATATGCTAGTGGAGAACACAAGGTAAGATATGCAAAGCATGAACAATACTCATTTCCCTCCAATGTACTCTTGGCATAAGATGGACAACAGTGTAAAGTTCTAAAAAAGGAAAGCAGTAACAATAGATCAACAGGTGCAAGTTAAGTGAAGCAAAACATTACAAACAACCTATAAATTAAGTAAATGAATGTGGAATGGGGATAGGAGCATGGAATCTAAATGAGAGTAAGCCATGTTTTTGATCGGCTGAAAGCTAATAATTTTTCCATTGCTACAAGCTATAAGCTACGTAAGTTCTTATATAGAAGCCTTTAGACAAGTAGAAATCAATTTTTGAGACATTTGTATAATCTTGTTTTCCCTTTTTCCAGAGCTCTCTGGTTTGAGAAAAGTGAAAATCAAGACGTTTTGACATTTTAAATGCTTGGACCTCCTATGAAATTGTTCAAATACCCTTGATAATCTTTTTTGCATGTTGATTCATTAAGGGTATTTTAGTCTTTTCATTATTGTTCCCGACATTTTAAGTGCCAAGATGCCCTGATTTTCCTTAATCTCATCTAGTTTTCACAAATGTAAAATTTATGGTGAGTGGTTGGTTCAGATTTTAGATACGTTTTAAGTTATAGCCATTTGAACATTACCTACATAAGATATCATTTTTTAAACAAAAATTGCAACCTTCCAGAATTCATTGTGCTGTTATTGATGGGTAACCTAAGAACCAAACTTGGAGACCTTGCTCAATCCCTTAATGCAAAATGCAGAGGAGAAAAGAAAATGAAGAGAAGAAACAAGATGATTATTCTTTGAAGACAATCAGACAAATATGATGTGTATGACATTGATTTAACATAAGAAGAGAAGGTATAAGGAACCTGCAAAGCCAACAAAGCCCACCAGCTTTAAACTGCCCATTGAAGTGATCTACAGAATTAACTCCAGTACCTTTGCATTGAGAACATTGTTTGGCACCTGGTTGGTGGATGCGAAAAGCATGTGAGTTATGATTATTTGTTGGTAGAAGTAGCAACAAGAGGTATGATGTAACAGGTTAGAGCACT